CACTCATGTGACTGAGAAATAGGAATAGTCGCTTGCGTTGTCAAAATGCTTGTAATAATATAAGTTTCCTGCAGGAGATACCTGTAGTAGAGAGGCCCATTGATGATCCCCCTCAAGGAGGTCCTATAGATGAATGTCAGTCTGATCCACGTATCCTTGAGAGTTCAGTAAAAGATTTCAACGCGTTAACAGATATATACTGGGTATGTTTCTTTTTCAGCATTTTATGTTTTGAAAGTTGAATCTCCATGACCTTCATATGGCTTGCTGGGTCCTGCTGAAACCTGCTCATGTTGTTTCATCTAGGAAGCAGGGTCATTTAAACTTTTATGTAACAAGTTCGTTTATAGGTTCCTTGACATCCTTTTTAATGGAGCTAATGGAATTATAAATATATTTTTGTATAACAAGGAATTATAAATCTTTTTATTGGGAATTGTGAGTTAACAATATATTTGTTTATTTTCAGCAATTTTTTGTGGATACTTCTGATTTTTATATTCCTTTCTTTACAGCCTGAATCTTTAGGACCATTAGATTTGGAGATGCCATCTTCTAAATACCATAGTGAAGATTTTGTTCTGAGTGATAGTCTTAGTGGGTTGAACCGCCTTATTGCCAGCAGTCTCGATGCATTTCAAAATTGCTCCTTTTTTGGGGCGAACAAGAGAGAACCAACAGCATCAATTGAAGCTCGAGAAACGGCATCCTTTTCAGATTTTAAAATTGGCAATGGAATTTGAGATCTGCCAAATGTTGGGGCTTCAATTGTAGTACAGTGACTATAACATTTTCCTAATGGCGGGGCTTCAATGGGAGTTCAGTGACTATAACATTTTCTCAGTTTAGCTCTGACGTGAGGATTGCATGCCAAAGGTGCCCCTGCGAGCCCAAACGGAATTCGAGCTTTCGTGTGTACAATTCTCTGATCAAAGGTTTTAATTTGTACAAATGTAGACAAATTGTATTTCGGCTTTTTATTTGTTACTTATTTTGTAAATTGTGTATTCCAGAGCTGATGTATGACCTCTGCAACCTGACCAGATAAATCGGGTTTCAGATACCCTGATGTTGTCGAGTTATTTGTACATTCTTTCTTCCTCAATGTTTATTCTGTTTATGCTGTCGATTTTGTTGAAGCCCTACCAAACATGCCCTGGAATTGTGGAAGCATGAAAACCCTAATGTGCTAATGCATCAGAGAAAATGAAAGTATTATTGGAAAATATGTACGTGTATAATACGAGTATTAAATGAGAGAATGTTAAATTCTTTATACGGGTATTAACTTTGGAAAATTAAAAAATCAAAAGGATACAATAGAGACTCTGGTAATGGCCTAATAGTAATGGATAATGCTCTAAACTATCAATAAACGAAAATCAAGGAAAAAAGAAAAAGAAAAAAGGACCTAAGTATAGCCACGCCGCTGTACTACTTAAATATAATATTTAACGAGTATAGCCGCGCGGCTATACTATTAATTATATTAAAAAAAAGACCCGCCTAGCGATTGGGCGCCCAAATCTTCTCTTTTCCCTAGCGTAATTCCAAGGCCTCTTTCTATCTACAAATCTATCTTGTTCTACACCAAGGATTTTGATATTCTTAAGTCCCAAGTACACTGACATCATCTTCACCGTATAATTTAATAATTTTTAATATAATTTATTTAAAAATTTAATATAAATTTTTTATTCAATAATATGTAAAAAATTATGCGTATATTACTTGAATTTTGCTTGTATTATTCAAAATTTTGTAAAAACATGTGTATTAAACATGAAAAATACATACGTACGTGTACATTATGTGTATTGTATGTTTGCTTTTTTAAAAAACGTGTCTTCTACAAAGTCTTTAAGACGTGTATGGAAAATGAAAGTATCATTGAAAAATATGTACGTATATAATACGAGTATTCACTACAAGAAAAAACCTTTTATGCGACCAAATTTTTGGTGACCAACGCAACTTCAGTCGCCCAATAGTGTTATTAGCCAGGACATTTTGTAATTCCGTTGCCAAAAGTTTTGTGAGATTTAGGAATGGGTTAAGACTTCAACCAACCAACCATAAGGTGTGGTGCTGTTGGCAAACTACCACCTACAGCTGGCGAGCTACCTGGTGCCTCAATGATAGGGGTTCGAAATCAGTTGGAAGCATTTTGTAGCCATGGTCAAGCCAAACCCTGAGCAGGAATTAATCCCACCCTTCGGGTGTGGGGACACCTCGTACTATTTACAAAATAAAAAAAGACTTCAACCAACCGATTGGCGACAAAATCTTTTCGAAGGGTGACTAAAATATTTCAACATTGTTCAATGAATTTACTACCAAATGCAATTTTGGTCGCCCCGTTTTCAATTTTGGTAGGGGGATATTAGTCACTTTTTGTTTGGAAAGGATTTTGGGGAATTGAGAAGCACCATTGTGCAGAGCTCGTCAAAACGAATTCGTAAACAGGCGGCAAACTCAATTTCAATTTAAAATGGAGGAGTTATGATCTACAGAAATGTAGTGGCACAATCATAATTTTTGCAGTGTCAAATTTAAAAAAAACTGTTCAGCTCCTTTCTCTCTCATTTTTCTCTCTCTTGTCTCTCAACTCTCGTATCTCTCTCTTTGCGCAAACCGGCCAGCCACTTTGGCCAGCGATTTCTGTCAACTCCGGCTACTGTTTTAGGCGAGGCCGATCCCAAAACCTTCATCTTGATGTCCTTTTTGGAGCTCGAAAACCCACAAATTTTGGACTGGAACGACGTGAAGTTTCGACTGAAACTTTCACCGTCGCCGTCAACATTTCTGGCTGCCTCAGGCAGCACCACCACCTGGATCAAGTTTGTCTCCTCTCCCTCTTGCTTTCCTATAGGTTTCACAACCTCGTGGTTGGCCATAGAGGCTGGCTTGAGCTCGAAAAGCTCCGAAAAATTCCACTTTTTGGCCGGGGTCTGAAAACGAAAAATGATCCCATAGGTGTGCTGGTTCTATGGTAGGAAGATTGGCTGGTGGTTTGAAGATTTTCCGGCGACCCATCGCTGCCGGCCTGCACGGCCCATAAAATTTTGGCCCATTGAGTAAAAGCCCGGCTGGCATGTAAAAGCCTAGCGCGTAAACTAAAGTCTCCTACGTGAAAACCGAAGAAATGATGTCCAGAGTGCCAAACTAAAGTCTCTTGCGTGAAAACCCATTAAATGAGAAAATGCTAAATTCTTTATACAGATAATAACTTTAGAAAAGTAAAAAAATCAAAAGGGGACAATAGAGACTCGGCTAATGGCCTAATAATAATGGATAACTCTCTAAACTACTTTTATTTAAAAACGAAAATGCATTCTGCAACTCACCGATCGGCTATACCATTTCTTTTTAAAAAAATCGTGGTATAGCCAAACGGCTATACTATCTAAATACATTATATTTAAAAGGTACAGCCGATCGGCTATACTATTTAATTTTAAAAATTTTAAAAAAAAAAGACCCTCCTAGTTGGATTAGTTTATACTTTATAGATATTAATTTGCTAGTTTCAACATATCCAAAGCAGATATTAATCGCCCACTATATAATATGTTAACATCATATTTTTAATATATATTATTTTATTCAATAATATGTGAGAATTATTTGTATAATACATTAATTTTTTGTGTCTTATTGAAAATTTTAATATAAAAAAATATGTGTATTAAACATGAAAATACATACGTACATGTACAATACGAGTATTGTACATTTGGTTTTTAAAAAACGTGAATTTTACCAAGTCTTTAAGACGTGTAAAAAACACGGATGTATTATTGAAAAATACATACGTACGTGTATAATAGAGTATTAAACATGAAAGTGCTAAATTATTTATACGGGTAATAACTCTGGAAAAGTAAAAAATTAAAAAGAGACAGTAGAGATTCAGGTAATAGCCTAATAGTAATGGATAATGCTCTGAACTACTCCTATCGATAAACAAAAATTGGGGAAAAAATTTAAAAGAGTCCCAGTATATATATATAAAGCGTATAGCCGATTTATTAAAAAAAATTTAAACAAAAAAAACCCAGCAAGGTTGGTCGGCTATACTATTTTTATAAAAAAAAAAAAATTAGAAAAAAATCGGGTATAGCCGCCCGGCTGTCCTATTTATGGAAAAAAATATATCACAGTAGTCGCATAGCGCTTAGTTGCCCACGTGTCAAAAACAGTATAGCTGATCGGCTATACTATTTGTAAGAAACATGAATAAAACCAAGTCTAGCCGCGCGGCTATACTATCTATTTAAAAAAGACCCGTTAGGCGATTAGGCGCTCGTGTCAAAACTAATGCGCGGCTATACTATTTCTAGTGGTATAGCCGCTCGGCTATAATATTTAATTATAACAAAAAATTAAACAAAAAAGGACCCTCCTAGTTGTTAGCAAAGAAAGGATCAGCTAAACGAAAACAAATTTTTAAATTTAAAAAACAAACAAGGAAAGAAAAATGGCTGGTTGATTATATGTTCTGTTTGGTTCGTGAGAAACGCTGGTAAATATGATAGAAATTATATATATACTAAACGGCAATTCAACTAAACACTGTTTTTAAGCACAGTGTAATGACGAAAATGCCCCTCATTTTACTGTTGTTACACGTTTTGTTTTCTCTCAATCACAGTAACTTTCCGAAAATGCACTCCACATAAACTTTTCTGCTCTTCCCTTTTTGGCCCTTCTCCTTCAGCCTTTCTTCACAAGCGAACGTATCGTTCCCTCAGAGCAGGAGTTCATCCTTGATTTCGAACTAGCTGGTTGGGGGGCAGCGATGGAAGATTTTCGTTCCCTCTTGGAGATGCTTTGGTGGCCGTTTATTTTCGTTTGGGGAGGCGAGCTGCGAATCCAGCTCCTTTCGGTTTATGAAATTGTCTGTTCGTTGTGATATTTTTCACAGATTCTACAACCTTCGTCTCACGCATCTTCTATCTCTCTTGGCTGTGAATTCTTGCATCCTTTGTCTTCGGGTATGCATCCCCTCACCTTTTTAGCGCATCTTTTGTTCTTTATTTCATCAATTAACAGAGTTCTTTTGTGATTTTTAATTGTTTAGGGTGACTTTTGATTGTTTAGGTTATGAAATTGTCTGACACCTGTACATAATTGAAAATCACAGCTAAGTTTGATTTATTGGTTATACAGATTAGGATTGCCGCAGGCTTATGTAAATCACAGTCTGTGCAACGATTCAATCCTGAGTGAGAGAGTGGTTTTGTGATTTTGATTGAGATGTTCGATTGAGTTGTCAGGACAAAGGGAATGTAAATCTAGATCAACGCTTACAGAAAATTAAAGTTATATATTGAAGTTTTTGGTTTATAGAATTAGAGAGGCTGAGAAAACAGAAATCATGCTACAATATACCTGGAATGAAGATTTTTGCTGCCTCCTTCAAGGAACCTAAATCTGTTATGTCTTTGGCCTGTCCAAGTTAGCATATATTAGATAAACTGTACATTAGTATTGACCAACAAGAAGTAAATATTTTGCCCCTAAATTTTTTTGAATGGCTATACTTTAGGGGTTCACGGCTCTTTGGATGATGGTTTTAAATAGGAAAAAATGTGGGATTGATGGGTTGAAGTTTTTGGGCAAAAACAGTATGGATTTGGGGTTTCTCATTACAAGCGATGGTCTTTTTAGTTGTTTAGTCTGTTGTCACTAGATATTCTGTTTTCTTCTGTCTCTGTTTGTTTTTGTTTTCCAGGATTTTTCTTTTGTTTTAGTAATGGACTAACAAATTTTAAGCATCTCATATAAAAACACTGCACAGAAAAACATATTTGGACAGTTTTGGGACTAGAAAATCAGAAATTGCAATTTTTTCAATTTTTTCTTGCTTTCTCTCCTCATCTCTCTAAACCATATCTGCTTTTCATGTTTTGTAGGTGGGGTTTTGCTGTTTTAGATAGAGCTGTTTGGTGGTTGTTTTTGGTTCTGTTAAGCAAGAGGTACATTTCTATGTTGAAATTCCAATTTATTGTTTCGGTTCTGTGAATAAAGCATGGTAATTAGCTAATGGTATCAATTGACATAGGATGAATTTGAACTAATTGTTATCGTTGTACAGCTGTAAATAAAGCCAAGTAATTAGCTAGCCTTGAAAGATTTTTACAATAAAGGATCCTTTATATATATTCCCAATGTTTTTTAATTTGGTTACAAAAGGATCCTTTATATTGTTCTATTTTGCCAGCTTTTCTTTTTGTATAATATATCTATGCTCAGAAAATATGAATGTAACCATCCTCAATTCGTTTTTAGTTTGTGAGTTCTAATTTTATTAAGATCCCACTTTGAACAGGAGAAATCTGACAGCCTAACACTTTATAGAACTATTTTTCAACTTGGTTATGCTAAGCTAGATTTAAGCTTTCTACGATTCTGTTAACATTGTTAATTAATTTGATTAATTACTTGATTATGGCTGCATTGTGATATTGCCAATGTTGAAAAGGATTTATATTTGAGGGATGTTAATCAAATTCTCCCTCCTCTAGAGAACTCCTGCTAATTTTAGTAAGGATGCTTAGGAACACAACCAGCTGAGAAGAGCTCAAAGAAGCATTATGTGTTTTTTTTGGGGCAGTCTGGCAACATAACATGTTTGTGTTGTTAAACTATGAACCGGAGACCATATTGCCTGTACAAATTCTTCTATTGAGATTGTAATAAAACCAAATTTAAAAGGAAAAAGAGACTATTTATAGCTGACCAACCAAGTTCCTCCTAATTGGCTTAAACCACCAGTTCAAAAGCCATAAACATTTTTATCACCTGAGTTAAATACAAAGAATGATTTTTATTTTGTTATTAAAGTAACATCCAAGAGATTCAAACGATATGCACAACAAATTTGTACAAAAGATATGTGCTTTGTGATGGGATTCAAACAAGTAGTCGCAAATGTTATTACCTTCATGCCTATTTGTTCCCTATGTTATGACCTCACATGTAATATGTATGGATTAACTTTGGTGGCTTTTCTTCGAAAAAACAACTTGAATTTCGCTCTGTGATTTTTACTTTGGATTTTGATGATGGCTGATATTCTATTTTCTTATGTCTCTATTTGTTTTTGTTTTCCATGATTTTCCTTTTGTTTTAGTAGTGGACTAACAAAGTTTAAGCATCTCATATTAAAACACTGCACAGGAAAACATATTTGGACAGTTTTGGGACTAGAAAATCAGAAACTGCAATTTTTTCGATTTTTCCTTGCTTTTTCTCCTCTTCTCTATAAACCATATCTGCTTTTCATGTTTTGTAGGTGGTGTTTTGCTGTTTTAGATAGAGCTGTTTCGTGGTTGTTTTTGGTTCTGTTAAGCAAGAGGTACATTTCTATGTTGAAATTCCAATTTATTGTTTCGGTTCTGTGAATAAAGCATGGTAATTAGCTAATGGTATCAATTGACAATTGGTTACGATAAATTTGAACTGATTGTTATCGTTGTGCAGCTGTAAATAAAGCCAAGTAATTCTTATGTGGTTTGAACCAATGACAAGCTATTTCATATATGATCTGTGCTTAGATACATATTAATATTTTTGACTCTTTCCTTTTTGTTTACGGAAGATATGATGTATTTGGAGGGGTTGTTGATAAGAGTGATAACAACATGATACTGCTTTTGATTATATATTAATGCCTTTTCGTGTGCTGAAGTTTTTTGAAATTTTTTGTTTTTTTTAGAGAGCTTTTTTAACATGAAAAAGGACATGGAGTCATTATAAACTGCCTTTGGTTTCATTTGATTGATGTTTTGGGTTGATTTTCAGACATATATGTTTAGTACAAAATTGGAGCTTGATCTTTAGATTGTTACAAGAGACTCTGAGAAAACTCAATTATTTAATTAGAGTATGAAATTTTGATCTCTGTTTAAAGGGAAAAAAGGGAAAAACAGAAAAATGGAATTGAAAAATATATAAAAAATCTTCATTGTTTAGGGTGACTTTTGCATAGGTAACTTTTGATCGTATACTCTTTGTTTCAAATGCATCTAGGATCATTTAAACAGCCCTCTTCCTGTGCTTTTACAGTGTTTTTCTTCGAACTAGAGGTGTCAGATAAATGTGCTTTTGCATCTTTTTTCTTCGCACTAGAGGTGTCAAACTAGAGGGGCCGATCTAGCACGGCACAAGCACTAATATTAGTGGGCCGTGCTGAGTTTTTGAGAAATAATAATACGAAACTCCAATTTCAGGGAAACTCAAATGACTCCCAACAACAGTTATGAACCATTTTCTTTAACATATATCCTGCTCTTAGTCTGAGTGGATTCACTTCTCATCAGCTTAGGTTGATTCAATTGGTTATTTTTTATTTTTTATTTTTATTTTTTTCACATTTTAATCTTTTACCATTAGATTGTTATTTGTGACAAATTAATTTTGGATATGTGGTCCAGAACTTCATTCTTAGACATTCTTGGATAATTTCCTCAAACGAACCATTTCACAAAGTATGTGTCCAAATAACCCAAAGTCTCAATAGTTAGTTCTCAGTCTTCCGGTTGAAAAACAATGTCAATGAAGGCATGTAGGTGCACTATTTTTCTTCAATACATCCACCCATGATTATTTTACCTCTCTTCAACTTTTCCTTTAGATAAACACAGAATTTAAAATATGTTTAAACACAGAATTTAAAATATGTTTACTTTATGTTACCTCAATTAAAAAACCATCTACAACTTGCTCATTAGTTCTCTTAATTCCGTTACTTTGTGTTTCCTCGATTAGAAAACCATTTATAACTCTCTTATTAAATTGTTAAATTATATTATTCCTGTTTATACATAATTAGATGTTTATGATTATTGTCCTAACTCGATTTTCCCCATTCATTAACATTAACACTTACTATTTCCCCCCTTTTTTATAACAGGGTCAAGACCTCCATCAAAGAGAAGAGAAGTCATGAAGAAATTCCAAAACAAAACCCGCCCAATTAAATAGCATGCTGCTCAAAACTGTCAAACTTTAGCTATTTTGATAATTGCTTCCCACTATTAACATCTCAATGTATATACAAACATGTCTACTATTTTAACATAACAAGTAGCCTGTAAAATATGTTATTACTTCCTTTTTAGCAACTTATACTTCCTTAGTTAAGCATAATGCTACAAGTTAAATCTCATTGTATATATAAACAATCTTATTTTGTCTACGTAATTTGAAAACCCGCAACATCGTGCGGGCTTTTTTGCTAGTATTGTTCTATAGCTTAGATTATCCGAGATTTCTTTGGAAACCAGGGTATTAAAATGCAATTTGATTATTAGTCTTTGTCTCAAGCAAAAATAATTTCCATGGAGCTCTGCTGCTCACTCCGACTCAGATGTTTCATTTGAGTTGAGTGTGCTAGATTGGACATGAAAAAATTGATTCAGGGAAGCAATGCCGATGTGCCCTTTCACTTGGTCACTTTGTGCTTGCTAGAGTGGGAGAGCCAAAATTGAAAGAAAGAAACTTTCATAAAAAATTGAAAGAACGAAACTTTCATACAAAATTGGAAGAAAGAAACGTACACGTTTTATTTGGCAAAAGTTTAGCAAGTTACAACTGAAAAGTTTGGCACTAGAATTACAATGGAAACTTCCATGCCATGTTGCTGCATTAATAAGAACCAATCTTTAATGAGATGTGTGACCAAAAAAAAATCTTTAATGAGATGATGAAGCAGAACTACTTCGTGGCAGTGGCAATGTGAAAAATCAGTTCATGTTTGAATTTTGGCCTTTACATCACTAATGAATTGACATAAGTTCTTCTGTGATGACCCATTTACAGCCAACCCATCCTCCAATTTTTGCCTCATCTTCTTGATCTCCTTCTGCAATCCATCACCCAACGTTCCACTCATCAGACGGTTGATCTTCTCTGCTACCTCCATCCTTGTAATCGGTTTAATCCTATCACAAAGATTGAGTCCAATCCCCCAATCATCAACTACAAGTTTCCTATTGGTGGTTTGGTCAGTCAATATAGGAAAACACAACATTGGAACACCACACCACATACTTTCCAGTATGGAATTCCATCCACAATGAGTCAAGAACCCTCCTATTGCTGGATTTGAAAGCACCTCAATCTGAGAGCACCATGGCACAATCAGCCCTCTATCTTTAATCTCATCTTCAAATCCAATGGGTAGGATCGAGGTTTCAAGTTCACCATGACTTATAGTATCAGGGCGTAGCACCCAAATGAAACTCACTCTACTAAGCAAAAGCCCATGAGCTATTTCTTCTACCACATTCTTAGTAACTTGAGCGTAGCTTCCAAATGAAATATACAGAACTGAACCAGGAGGCTTGGCATTGAGCCATTCTGTACAGTCAAACTCGGAGATGAGGTTGGTTGCCACCACCACACTCTTGGTAGCTTTATTGGGGAAGACAGGGCCAATTGCATATGTGGGTTGCTTCTCTTGCAAGGCTAGAAGGGACTGGGATTCGAGTTCTTGCACTGTGTTACACAAAATAAAATTTGCATTTGTAACTTGTTGGAAGGCCTTGTATAGGATTCTGTGAGCTGCTGTTGATGTATTAGTAGCTTGGAGGTGTGATACCAAGTCCTTTGGTTCAATAGCCTGCACACCAGGTATGTAATCGATCATGTCCTCGCGATTATCTAATAAATCAACCAGAAAAATCAGGTATACATAAAGAAAAATCTTCTCGTCTTTTGTATCAACAATCTGATAGCATAACATGTTGGATATGAGAAGGTTATTACTTACCATGAGAACCAAAATGACCATTTTTTCTGAGGAGGTCCATGTGATAGTAGATGCACAAGACGAAAGCTGTTTCAGTCCAGAAGGAAATGTGGACAAGGTTATACTTGTTGGCTATGGTTGCTGGCCAGGTGTGGAAGGTATCAGCAATCAAGCAACTGATTGAAGGGTCAGATTGGACTAAATTTCCAACAAGTTCATCAACATGTGCAGGGAAGACATGCAATAGACCCTCAAGATATTGATCAAGATTCTGAGACCGGTTGAAGGCTAGTGGAAAACCATCACTCACTGTTCTGTAGCGAATGTCTAGACCGGACTTTCGCGCTGCAGCAAAGATGTCTTCTTGACCTTCACTGCCGTTGGATTCGGATTTGGTTATCTGGTGGTGAATAATTTGGGTGTTGACAAAAGTGATGGTGAAACCATTTGAGGCAAGCTTCATGGCCAGATGGGTAAATGGGATAACATGGCCTTGGCGAGGGAGAGGCACCATGATTGCATGAGGCTTTGAATGCTTGTCCTCCATGGCTCCCTCTGTGTCTGTTTCTCTCTCTGTTTGTGAGTTTGTGATCTGTGTCTGTTTGTGGCTCTGTGTGCTTATACAAATACACACACAAAGTTTTGTTTTCTTTCTTAGGATAAGGGGTGGTGGGGCAGATGTCTAATTTTCCACAAACTGTTTTTAAACTACAAACAAAACAGTGTCTTTCTAAACCAAGAAAATGAATCACACTTTGGATTCCTGTGGACAAAAATCAAAAAGTTCATTGACAATATTCTCAAAGTAGTAGAAAGACTTGTTATAATTTGGTTTGTGCTAATTTAGAGGTTGCGCTAATGACAAAGAAATGAGGAAGCAGAACCACATAGTAGCAATGTGGAAGTCACACTCGTTTTTGAATTTCAGCCTTTACATCACCAATGAATTGAGATAAATTCTTTTGTGATGATCCATTTACAGCCAATGCATCCTCCAATGTTTGCTTAATCTTCTTGCTCTGCTTCTGCAATCCATCACCCAATTTTCCACTCATCAGTCGGTTGATCTTCTCTGCTACCTCCAACCCTGTGATGGGTTTCACCCTATCACTGAGATTTAATCTGTTGACGCCAAAAAGTGGTTCTCTGACTTAGAGGGTCAACTTAGTAATTTTATACCTTCGGTATCCTCAATGCCTCGGTAGGGAGC